CTCGATCCGAAAGAACGCGAATCGCGACTTTTATCGCGCGCGCGCGCGCGTTTTCTTGTCAGATGAAAGAATTCCCGACGTATAATTGTGTGCGCGAGTGTCGTCACGCGTTTACGTAATGGAAAATTACGTAAGCAGGCATGCTTAGAAAAATATTACGCAGCAGCCGAGACAAATTTCGCGGCACGTCGGGTTAACGCTCCATTTTTTTCATCGGTTACGCGAGAAGCGAATTTCCCTCGTTCACATGTGACGAGTAAATCTCAAAAGACGAATCTTTCGCAGCCGCGATCGCTCCGACTTTGCCAGAATCACATCGAGCTGCTCCTTTCTCTTCCTCGATTTTTTTATCGCAATTATTTTTCACACTTTATTATTTTTTTTAATCATCGCGACAGTCTTTTCTCGCAAAGATGCTAACTAGTTTTCCTGCGAACTTTGTAATAATCATTTTTCAAGCTGTCATTTGAGACTTTATTTTTCAACCGATTTACATGTCAATTTTATCCTTTTATATTTTCGATATTTTCGACGCCCATTCCTCATAAAAGCTGACGCTGCGCCCTGTTTTTCCGGATAGAGAGCCCTAATACGTTTCTATCGCCCTCGGTTTTGCCGCCCATTTATTTATCGCCGGTTTCCGGTGCCGACTTTGTCGCATATAACAAACCGTACGTATATGGTACTATTTTCCCGTGTTATTTTTAAGCGGCTTTGCAGAGTATGCGCTGCGCTCCACTATTTCTGATCCCTTAATTCATCCACAAACGTATACCTGACGCGTGGGCGTCGCCAGGATTCATCGTTACATATGCATCTTCTCTTTTATTTCTCTTAACTTTATGAATTTTTAAGCTTCACTTTTCATTATAATTTTTATAACAGTCCCATTCCAATGGCTTACATTTTTCACGGTTAATAGATAGAATTTTAGATAATAAAATTAGCGAATTTCTTCTCTTCATAAATTTAAAAAATACATTCCTTATTTTTAATCGATACGATTTAGTAATATTTTTTACGAGGTACACGCGCTGAGAAAAAAAATTGTAAACCTGACTAAATATTTTCAACTAATTATTATTTTTCAGTAGAAATATTTAAGCATTTAAATTAAATATGACATATTAAATCCATGACACTTAAATACTTGAATTGATTTTAATTAAAAAAATAATAATTAGTTGAAAATATTCAGTCAAGTTCAATTTTTTTGTCTTCAGTGTAAAAATCGATTCTCTAAATTGGCCGACGAAATAAGCGTTACTAAAATTAAGGTCGACGATTTTAGGATACGACACATAAATGTAAATGCGTGAGTGTACTCCGTTATATTTATAGCGGGAGAAAGTCTTGCCCGGACCTTGCTCTCTATTATCCCACCTTCTCGAATGAGTCACGCTGCGTTTTTGCTTTACGGGGTGTCATTCTTGAAGTCACGTACGCGATATGTCACCCTCGCACCGTCGCCGCCATTTTCGGTACATTTTTGCCATCGCAAATACGACGAGATCGAATTTCACATATGTAAAAGAGGTCTCAATATTTCCTTGTCGTAACAAAATTTTGATGCTTTTTATCTTGATACTTTTTTATCCATAAAAAGCGTACAAAAATCTATTTATTTTATATAGTGAATATATTTAAAAATTATCGTAAATTCAAAGTTCAAAGTTTGTGAGGAGAGTAATGTTTGCGTGACATTAAATTTAAAATTCTTTTACTAAATTTTTTTTAATTTTTTTAATTTAACATTCTTTATTTCCTTCTTCGAAAATAGATTTTTTTACGAAAACGAAAAAAATTATAAAATAAAGAGATACACGTAACGCTTCCGCGTTTCTCTCGATAAATTTCTTCTCAAAAGGATATTTCAGGCGCAGAGTTAATTCTTCTCAATTTACTTTTACACAATTTTTCACAAGGTTGATGTTTGTTCGATTTTTCCATGAGCAAAGAATTCTGATGAGTAAATATTGTACGTACGCGATAAATTCTATGCCGAAAAGAGTTTCCCATCCGTGTGACGTCCATCAATGCCGATGGCGACACTGTTTCAGGAACGACCATGAAATCATGCCACGCGCAACATTGAGATCAGGGCCGACTTTAGGCAACGAGAAAACTAACTCTTGTCAAGGATCAGAATTAAAATTGTCTCCTTTCCATCGATCGTGTCCTTAGAAATTTTCACGAAATTTCTAAGGACTTTCTAAGGAAATTTCTAAGGAATTTAAAGTTTTTTAATATTTCTATTCAAGAAATATTAAAAAACTTTAAATTAATTGCATAAAGTCTCTAATATCTCAAATATCTTGATAACAAGATCTCAATTTGATTTCTTTCTTCGCACGTCAAATTATAATTATAAGCGCTTAAATTTGAAATAATATAAAAAAAATAAAATAAAATAAATAATATAAATAAAATAAATAAAATAAAAATAATATTAAAATAGTACGAAAAGAAATAATGAAACAAAGATAAAAAATAAAAATCAAATTACTACTTTATCTCGGCGTATTTGTCAATTGCAGAGGTTTTAATTTTTTTTGTATGTTTTTTTTATTTATTTCGAGAGATATGTTAGAAGATACGCTGTGACGAAAAAATAAGAAACATATTCCCAATCAATCCTTGCCTGTGATTATGAAGAAAAGATCATCGTACGAGGCATTCAATCTCTTATCTCCGAGTGATGGAACGACATTGGTCACTCTCTATTGGAAGCTATTAACCTTTTCGTTATGACAAAAACCGAGCGAATGAAAAGCAGTATCGCGTTGTTACAGTGTCGGCAAGACTTTAGGGGACATTCTTGAGGGATCTCTTCCCGAATAGAAATCAATCGATCGGACCATCTTGTAATCTTATCGAACCAAGTGACACATTCGTACAAATTCTTGTAAATGGACTACGAATGACTTAATATTCGGTGACTGAACGCGATGAGTCACTGCAACTTGTCCAAAGACCCAACCAAAATTTTCCCCTGGTCCAACCCTTCGTCAAAGTTACTAATAACCGGGCTTATTTCAATCGACGCTATCCGGACATATTTCCTTAATTAACGTCTCATCGTTCCCTCACGAAAATTCCTCGACGATTTTTAATCATTCGTCCGACGCCATTGCTCGATAACGGGATCTGGATGTGATCTCTCGTTATTTTTCCAAGCCGGGAGATCGGCGAGACGAGAGAGAGCGCGCAATCGCCGTCGCGTAACGCACATGCGAATTGTGCGTAATGAGCAGGAACGACGCGCCTGCGCGCGCGCGCGCGCACGCGTGCGTGCGTAATTTGATTTACGTTATCGGCGATATTTATCGAGGAGGTTGTTGACTCTGCGTACGTAATTCTCGCCGGCCGTGAGATTAGGCGTCGCTCGATCGAGACGGAATCGCAATATCGCTTCTTACATCGCCGACTGCCATTATATTTGACACGCGACGCGTAAATCGTCAGGTAAATTCGAATTTTCATCGATTCTTCATCGATCCCTTTCTCATTCGACAGTCATATATCAACAATGTAAAAATGACGCAATCTACAAATTTAAAAAAATTCAGAAAATTAATATTAATATTGATGAGTAAAATAATTAAATAATATTGAAAATTTGAAAAATTTAATAATTCAAAAAATTTACATTAATATTAATATTTATAAATTTAGTAGAAAAAATTTATATCAATATTAATAAGTTTAGTATAAAAAAATTAATATTAATAAATTCAATAAAAAATTAAATACAAAATTTGAAAATATATAGAGAAATTATACGCCGATAATATTCTGAATTTTTTGTACACGCTAGAAAAATATCAGTGATTTATTGAAAAATAATTTATCGGAGGAATACATCATCTCCTTGTTTCGCGCAGATTTGTTCGATATAAATTATTCTGTCGACGCGATCAAGTAAACACGAGAATCATTTGCTGTGTGTTTTTAAGTAAACTTAAAAAAAATCATACACGTCCTTTTATAAAAAGTGCTAAAGGAGGATTTGGAGGCTTGAGATGCGCCGAGAGCGGAAGTGAACGATATCCGGAAATCACTCGCTCGCGCGCTGTATTTATTACATAATCTCGCAGACGGCTTCGAAAAAAAAAAGAAAAGAAAAAAATTCGAATTCGCAAACAATCGCGCGTGACGCAATCGACAAATTGGAGATATCTAGCCTCGATTGATCGCCGAGATACGGAATGTAATCCTTCTCGCGCTCACTTCAGGCTAATCGAGGCTTCCCGCGTTATTAAGGGAGCCTCGCGTTTCTCTCCCGCGAGATCCCCGCTGAAATTTGCGACTCCAGCCAAATATTTTAAACAAATATAAATATAAATTTTATCCATATAATTATAAATATATGTGTACTAAGTAATAATGAAATAAATCGCGCGCGAAATTATATCGAGTCGCTTACAAACGGTCGATTACTTTTGAATGACCTCGCTCGCACAACGTTTGTTGTTGCCTACTTCTCACAAGTTCTCCTTGTTGATATTTATTTTGCGATGTGTCTAAATCGTATCGAGGAGTCGGATCGAAAATATTGAGTTCGGGAAAATAATATTGCATCAAACTAATCATCTCTCTCTCTCTCTCTCTGTTCCATTTTCTCTCTCTTTCTCCCTTTATTAAACCTTATCAGTTCTGTAAAGCGCGTTCTCTCGTTTATTTTTCATTTTACCTTTATACAAATTTTCGTGAAACGCGAAAACAATATATTTCTTCAACCGTCTCCTTTAATAATAAAAATCCTTTAATAATATTTTTCTAATGCGCCAAAAAATTCCGTCATCAACGTATAACTTGAAATTCCGCACTGAATTTTTGAAATCTAATTTATCATTGAACCTTTTGACATTTAAGATACTTTCTGACACGCGGAGAAACGTATCGACGATAATTCCATAGTGTAAATAGCCCAATAATCCGTGGAGATATATTGGATATAAGAGAGAGATAACGCTTGGTAATTTTTTTTTTGTCTTTACCTTTGACTATCGCCGTTCTTCTCCTCGATCTCCAGACGCTCCATCTCCTTCTGCAGCATCCCACCTTCCGCGAACTTATCCAGAGACATGTTTACGTTAATAATTTCGCTCTCTTGTAGGTAGAACTCGCGCACAAAACGTAAAAGGCTCACTCAGTATCTCCTCTTCTCTCTCTTCTTCTAATATATATATTTAATTTATATAAATATATATATACGTATTAATTTCTTTCTCTCTTTCTCTCTCTCTCTCTCTCTCTCTCTCTCTCTCTCTCCGTTAAATAATTCTTCTTAAACCGCTTTATCGCAAGCCGCCGACTCTCTTGAGGTAGACTTTAAACACTGGCACTAAAAACACTGGCTGAGCTCTCGCACCACCGGGGCGAAGAGAGGAGGAGGGAAGAGCGGTAAAAAGGGGTATACTTTCTCGCCCTCGTCCCGGAGCGACACGTTCATCAATGTCGAGGCGACCCAACGATATATCCCGGAATGTTGCAGACGAGATCTCTCAAGACGTCTCAAGACTCTCCTCTCTCTCTCTCCCTCGTCTATTACGACGCACGCACTTCCTCGCACCCTCTCTCTCTTTCTCCTCTCTCTTTGGTTCTCTTCCGTCCCGCGTTTTGCTCCCTCCTTCGAGCACGCCGCTCCCTCCTTCTGTGACGACACCAACGATTACACGTCACGAGGTGATGACGATTTTCCAAAGCAAATCGACGACGAGGGATAGACTATGACGACGAGCTACAACCGTCTACTGGCTACGACTAGTCCACTCGCACTCGGAGAAGGAAGAAAAGACGCCGCGTGTCGCTTCGGACGACTGTCGAAGGGAAACTCGTGCGGGTGGTGAAGAGCTCTAGCTTTCCCCGTCGCCTCCCGATACCTAGCTTTCTAGCGAGTCGCCTCCCCTCCCCTAGCCTCGGGGCTTCTCTATCTGCCTCTCCCTCCGTCTCCTTTCTCCGCGCGTCCGCTTCCTGCGTCTTTCTCTCTCTAGGTGGCCACCCTCCCTCCCTATTCGTATATCGCTCCTTCTCCCTCCGTCTCTCTCTCTCTCTCTCTCTCTCTCTTCCTCTCTCTCCCTTCCTCTCAACGCTCCGGGCCGCGACGTAGGAATTCCCCTCGACGTATCGGAGCAGCTCGCTTCTTTTTTACCAACCGAGCGGAGTAGACCGGCCCGAACGCGATTGGCTCGCTCGCCGGGACGATTCCGGAACGATTCCGAGGGCGCGTTGTCTAATCACCAGACTCGGCTATGATGGACGTCCTCGTCGTCGTTGAAATCGACGGGCTTTATCGGCGAGCATACAGGAGCGTTCTTACGCCTCCTAGCACGTGGATCAATCGCGGGGAGGAGGGGAGAGGGAGAGACGGACAGCCTGTCAAACTCGCGGTACCACCAGTTACACCGTTATCCCGGTGTCCGGCATCCGGCTCAGGTGTCCGCGCTGTCAATGGCGTCGTGGCGTCGTTATTCGAGGATACACCCCCCTAACCTCTCGTCCAGAAGCTAGATTCGATCGCGAATCGCTTCGATCGACGACGGCTCTCCTCTTTCCGATGTATCGCGCGTGCAACGAGGGGGGCCAGAGGATGGGGGAGGCGATGGTCCGCACATCCGGAGCAGCGATATCGGCTATCGAGGATATCTCAGCGAGAAGCCGCGCTAGGTACACTGATATTATTTTTATAACACGCGCTGCGCGCGCGATGCCGTCGTAGGCCGCGCCCAGTCTACCCTCACCACTCGTCGCGCCGGTTCCCCCACCAAGCGTCGGGGATCCCCCACTCCGCGCGCCTCCGCGCATGCGCGCGGCTCGAGGAGGCGGCTTACGACGCGTGCGCGAAGGAAGGATACACTTTCTCGCCGAGGGTTCTCTCCGCGGAAAAGCGCGGGTATATTTTCGTATATTTCTCTCCTCTCGAATTTCCTCTTTCGACTATTCGTTTTCTTGCTCAACGAGGCGGGGAGCGTCTCGAGGCGAGGATAATTATTATACCTGGGAATTTTTCGAGGATTCGTATTTCTTCCGTTGTGTCTTTTTTTATTTTATTTTAAGTTGAAATTTGAATTTCATCGATTTTTTCCCGGTTTACCGGAATGACATGAAGTTTGCTTTTAATTTCGTTGGGAATTTTCTATGTAAATTCTCGCGTCGCACGCGTCTTTTGGCGCCAAGGACGAGGCGATGTGGGTCTGTCGGAGAGTAATCGGGGTCGATACGCGTCATGCCGGATAATGCGTAGATGCCAAAAGACCGCGTCATTGACCGTGAGCGGAGGCGCCGCTCGGTGGACACTGGTAGGTACTAAGATTAGGCACACGTCGTACTATGCCATTAAGAGTCGCTCTCAACAATAAAACGTCAACCGCTCATTCAACGATCGCTTATCACGTCCGTCAAGCGACAGTCTTCGACACGGTTTTTGGGGGTAAAAGTTTCTCGAGTGTTCATCGAACATGCACAGGAAAAAAGGACATTATTCTTATTATATTTTGAAAATATATTTAATTTTAACATGGAAATCTTGAAATGAGATTATATTGTTAATTAAAGAAAAATATAATTGCTTGAATAATTGCTTACTTGAATGAAGTCATTTTATATAGTTCAGTCGAGAAAAATATATTCTTATGATTTAAGATTTAATTTTCTTCTATAGAAAAGAAATAATGTTTCATAGAAAATAACAGTTTTAAATCAAAGATTATAATTTTCTTAAAGTAGAATCAAATAATTACATATTCTTGAGATGACAATTACAATATTAAAATAAGACTGTGATATTGTTGAAATTTAAAATTATTAAATTCTTTTAAGAAGGTTATAAATTGTTGCGTATAACACGAAACAATGAATGCGTTAGTTTAAGTATATAAGTTTTGATTTGACACTTATTTTATTTTTTGAGTGAATTGTCGCAATTTGTGTTCATGATAAATGTCGAAAATTCGACTTGAAAGTTTTCTAAGAACAAGGGAAACTTTTGTTCTCTCCAAGAATCACGAGTGATCCGAAACTTGAAATATAAAAGAATTTTAGTTTTCCTCTTCAAAGGGTCATAAAGTTCCCTTTTTTCAAAATGAATAAATTGTGGATTATTGTGTTGCATTTTTATCATTTCGAAGCAATTTTAGAGCGTCGACAAGTTTACGACATCAATCTTCCGACCGCACTGAGAAAAATCGTTTGATTGTACCAACAAGACGTATATGATTGAAGGCATTTTGGTTAAATCAAACAAGAATTTCTAGTTATCATGATAAGACTTGATTTTTTATAATTAGAACATTTAATAGATTTTACTATAAGGATTTGATTAATATTTTCTGGTTGGATCTATAAAATTTCTTGTTACATTAATTTCTTTGCTTGCCACTAAGAGGCGAACCACTCTTAACTTAATTCGTATTCAATATTTACTATAAAATGTATATAAAGAACTAGTATTAACATTAAATCCAAAGTATATTTTTTTTCTCTTACGGGCAGTAGTGCCAGAAAGAGGACGCTAGCTCTCTGATTGTGTATGTTTGAGCTGCATCCTCTTCTTGCATCATTGTTTATTATTTTAATTTCTAACAAACTGAATTTAAAATAATTTATTCAATAATCTAGATTGAATTGATCCAATAATCTTGTTGGAATTCAAAATATTAAACAGACTTTTAAGATTAGATGGAAAAAATTTTAGACGACTTGGTGCTGGTGAGTTTAGTATTATTAACCAGAAAATTTGGTAAATTTAACAGGAAGAAATTAATCATATTCATCTGATAATTCCTACAAGAATTCTGGTTCTATTTCCCAACAGACATACTGGTTGAATCTACCAGAATTCCAATTAATGCAACCAGATTTTTTTCTCAGTGCACTGTTTATCAGCTTAATTTTTAACAAACTGAATTTAAAATAATTTAATCAATAATCTGGATTGAATTTATCCAATAATCTTGTTGGAATTCAGAATATTAAACAGACTTTTAAGATTAGATGCAAAAAATTTTAGACGACTTGGTGCTGATGAATTTAGTATTATTAACCAGAAAATTTGATAAATTTAATAGGAAGAAATTAATCATATTCATCTGATAATTCCTACAAGAATTCTGATTCCATTTCCCAACAAACATACTGGTTGAATCTACCAGAATTCTAATTAATGCAACCAGATTTTTTCTCAGTGCACTGTTTATCAGCTTAATTTCTAAGAAACTGAATTTAAAATAATTTATTCAATAATCTGGATTGAATTTATCCAATAATCTTGTTGGAATTCAAAATATTAAACAGACTTTTAAGATTAGATGCAAAAAATTTTAGACGACTTGGTGCTGATGAATTTAGTATTATTAACCAGAAAATTTGATAAATTTAATAGGAAGAAATTAATCATATTCATCTGATAATTCCTACAAGAATTCTGATTCCATTTCCCAACAAACATACTGGTTGAATCTACCAGAATTCTAATTAATGCAACCAGATTTTTTCTCAGTACACTGTTTATCAGCTTTATTTCTAAGAAACTGAATTTAAAATAATTTATTCAATAATCTGGATTGAATTTATCCAATAATCTTGTTGGAATTCAAAATATTAAATAGACTTTTAAGATTAGATGGAAAAAATTTTAGACGACTTGGTGCTGGTAAGTTTAGTATTATTAACCAGAAAATTTGGTAAATTTAACAGGAAGAAATTAATCATATTCATCTGATAATTCCTACAAGAATTCTGGTTTCATTTCCCAACAAACATACTGGTTGAATCTACCAGAATTCTAATTAATGCAATCAGATTTTTTCTCAGTGCGGTTCGATGCTTTTTCGAAAATCAAAGTTGGTGCTTCATCGTTTCTCCTTCTCGCCCGAATCGACGACTTCCCTTTCCGTCGAAGCAATTTGAATTTTGATTTGCCGAATCTACTCGGGGAACACATAATATTGCGCTTCTTTGATCGTCGGCCGCGCTGAAGGGCTCTTGGCCGATCAAACCGGCAGGGGGTCGTGTCGCGCGGTCCTATACCGGGTGACTCGTGAAGCACTGTCATCCATTGTTCTCCACGAAATGGATGTTTGACTCATTAATGCCGAAACTGCTGTTAGCGGCAAACTACAGTCGGGCGACCCAGAGACGGTAGATCGGCGCACGGTTTCGAAATCGGCTCTCGGCGAGAACCGGGATTACCGTGGAAGGGTCGCCGAGGGTTGATTCCGTTACGGGTTCTCTCTTTGTTCGTCCAGGTAGAGGAAAGGACGGATTCTCGGTCCTCTCTTTTGTTCGCGCGCCCGCAGGTATATGGCTGCACTATTCCTGTCGTTCCTGCCGATCCGCCGGTCATTATCTCCGCCAATGACGAGGGTGTTATCCTTGAAGTAGATTTATCATTCACAGTAGCGCGTGACGCGCCTGAAACGAGCGTATTTTGTTACTTCCTATGCTTGATCTCTTCGAATACCTTCCGTCTCCTTCTCGCGATAATGAGACCACGTCGTGGAAAAAGTGCGTCGTAGATTTGCAAGTCTTTATTGAAGCGAGATGGTCGAGCAAAAACGGATGCGATATAAATCCTAACTTTTGACAATATTGTTTTTCTCTTAATATGCAGTTCAAGAAAAAGAAACGAAAAAGGGAATTTTTGAATTTTTTTTTACGCCAGATGCAATTCCAGTCTTCAAAATTGCCCTACCATAAATTTGCGGACGAAACTGCAAAAAAGGCTTGCTATTTTAGTTATATTTTATAGAGTGTTGTATATTTTATAGAGTGTTTTATATTTTATAGAGGGTTGTATATTTATAGAGCTATGATACATATTGATATGTCAAAAAATTGTTGCGCTTGAAATTAAATACCTCTTATCAAAATTTTCAATGAATTTAATATCAATTATAATTAAGATAATTATAATTATGAATATATATGGATTCTATTGAGAGAAAATTATGAGTAAGCTATTGAGAATTTATCAAATATTTTTCAAATTTAAAACTTCTATTACAAGTCGTCGAATTTGATGCTTCATCAAAATTGATAAATTGAAGTATTTAGTAAATTTAATTTAACGATTAATAACATTTTATATTTTTTTATTAATTTCGTCGAAAATGCTTTAAGTTTGATTTAATATAATAAAGAGAAAAGTATCTAGTATCTGAGTTCTTAGTGATTCAATTTGAAACTTTCCTACAGTAGATTTCATACTTGAATCGGTCATCTTATTAATCATATTTGAAATGACAAATTAATCATACTTGATTCATATATTATTTTTTCTTAATATATCTTTATTTACTATTTACTTTAAAAAATTTAATTTTTCAAACTTTTTAATTTATAAATATAAATTTCAAGAAAACAATTGTATTCTTCATTTTAATAAATTAATATTTAGTAATATTAATATTACTATAATAATATTTTAAATTTATATGAATATCCTTTAAACAATATAACAATTCCATCAATATTCTATTTACTTTTTTCGCTTTTCTCCATTATTAAAATTTGTTCTACAAAATCTTTATACGAAAAATTAATTATATATAATTTAATATATGAATAAAAATATCTTAACTTATTTTAATAAGTTTTTAATTAAACTCTCATCTCCTATTAATATTTCATGATTGAGGAACAAATTTTTTTGGAGAAT